TTAAAGCTTAACTCCCAGTTTATTTTCGTCCAAGACCAAAGGCGCTCGCTACTTATTCGGGAAGCTATTTAAATACCTCCCCCGACCTCCCCTCGGGGTTATGAGCGTTTGCTGCTGGAGAATTTCACAAAGGTGTTTGGTACCGTCGCCCCGGCTCACCGGGGCGCTCGGCGGGGGCCGGGGAGCATTGCCGAGGGCGAGGGGGGATGTGTTTTGAAGGGAGAAGAGCTCCTTTCAGACAGGGAATCGCGGTACTTCGCACTCACTTCGTGGTTTATTACTACGGGAGGAATCTGTTTATAGTCAAACCCTATTACCTTGGGCCGTATCGATTTTCCTGCAGTACTCCCCACCGATTTAATTGTTTTTAGGAATGTCAATTGTGGCTCTCATGTTCCCTGAATCCATCAGCGTTCGAATGATAAACCTCATCATCGCTCTAAATCATACGGCAATCTGCTCGTCCCCGCTGCTGCCCACCCCCCGCGCCCCCAGCCCCGCGCACCGACCGTCGGTGTCCGAAACTCCACCAGAGCCGCAGCACCGCCTTCCCCCCGCCTCCCTCTCCCTGTCATAGCCCCTCCACTCCATCTTTGAAGTTTTACTGTCTTAAAATGAATGCACCGAAGAAATACACCCCTAAATTAGTCACGGTTCCCGGTTTTGGGTTCTACAGCTAAAAAATCCCCATTGCAGCGCAGAGCAGACAAAACCAGAGGGAAAAAACCCCAGCAACCAGAAAAAAATCACCCAGAGAGAAAAAAAAAAAAAAAAAAGGCACAACCCACACAGAGAAGTCATCGAGTCTTTAAAAAAATAATTAGGAAGGAAAACAAGCTGAAACTGCGGACGAGGCGCTGGAAACTCCAGGCTGGTGCTGCTCGAGGCTGCGCTGATCGCAGAAGGAGGGAGCAGACGGAGCCCGTGCCCGCTGCCCCCCGCGCCCCGCCGCCCGCACACGCGGGGGCAGCTGCGGCGATCCCGCAGCCCAAGGGACACCGCAGGCTGTGCAGGGGCAGGAGCAGCGACTGTGCTGCCGCAGGGACGGGGAGCCGAGGGTCAGTGCGGGGACATTCCCAGCGCAGCCCGCGGGAGCCGGGGGTCGCGGGCGGTCCCCTCGGGAGGGCACGGCTGTGGCTGAGCGCCCTCAGCGCTGCTATTTCGGCACTTTCCTCCTGCTGCTGCGGCTGCTCGGGAGCCACTTTTCCCCGTCACAAACATGCCCTGCGGGCAAGCTCAGCCCCCACGGCGGTTTCCCTCCGTGGCAACCTTTAGGCGGGCTCTCGGCCCGCTGGTTCCCAGAATTATAGCGAAGTGCCTTTACGGAAAGCAGATTAATTCGCTCTGCAAAGCCAGCTTGGGGCGGCTGCGGGGGTTTTTTTTTGTACGGGTGGGAGATGCCAGGCCGGCGGCGATCCCCTGCACTGCTCGGGTTAGACGGTTAGAGGGATGGATCAGCGAGCAGGCAGGAGGCGGCTGCTCCCCGCCGTGACTTTGGGGCGTTTTAGGCGCCGGCAGCGTCCGCCCTGGAGGCGAGAGTTACCCTACAAAGCCAGGTCGGGCATCCACCCCCAGACTAATCAGATGCGAGGGTCGCTTCCCCCCTCGAAGGGATCCAAGCACAATAAAACATCACCCGCGCTGGCGCCGGGAGAAAGCCCAGGCGCTGACCCTTTGCTCCGCTCAGAAGCCCCCAGGGCAGGATTTGATGCTGCCATCCCCTTTGCATCCCCTTTCGGGGGGATAGCGGCGGGGAAAGCCTCGCTGCCGCGGCCGCCGGGAGCGCTGCGAGCCCCGCGGAGCGCAGGCACGGCTGGTCCCGCTGCACGGCCCGGGAAAGCCGCGCGGCGCGCATCCATCACCTTCCTCCGCCGCCTCCCGCGGGCAGCCCTCGGCTGCTGTTTATTTTGTTATCAAATCAATTAAGCTGCCGCTCTCGTATAGAACGGGGGCGGGAGGGGAAGGAGGAGGAGGGGGTTTGGAGTAAAACTGTGGCCACTCCTTTGACATCGTCTCACCAAAGCAAAGAGCTCCTCCTGTTGGAGAAATGATTTCCTGCTGGATGGGAAACCCTCTCAACACGCGAGGGATTTCATTAATTTGAGTAACGTGGCTTTATGCTATACTGTATTTTATTTTATTTTATTTTATTTTATTTTATTTTATTTTATTTTATTTTATTTTATTTTATTTTATTTTATTTTATTTTATTTTATTTTATTTTATTTTATTTTATTTTATTTTATTTTATTTTATTTTATTTTATTTTATTTTATTTTATTTTATTTTATTTTATTTTATTTTATTTTATTTTATTTTATTTTATTTTATTTTATTTTATTTTATTTTATTTTATTTTATTTTATTTTATTTTATTTTATTTTTTCTATTCTATTCTATAATTTGTTATTTTTTATTCTATTCTATTCTATTCTAATTTATTCTAATTTATTTTATTTTATTTTATTTTATTTTATTTTATTTTATTTTATTTTATTTTATTTTATTTTATTTTATTTTATTTTATTTTATTTTATTTTATTTTATTTTATTTTATTTTTTCTATTCTATTCTATTCCATTAAATTCTATTCTATAAGTTATTATTTTTATTCTATTCTATTCTAATTTATTCTAATTTATTTTATTTTATTTTAATCAGTCAGTGGTCTCTGCGCCAACAACCACACCAGTCACTTGGTGCAAATGCTCTTCTGTGTTCTCCTTCTCTGTTGCCATCTGGTAAAACACTAACTTCAAAACAGTGGACCCTTCCTGTGCTGTGCATAATGATCCAGCCCCTGTAATACCAGCACAATATTTGGCACCTGTGAGTAGCATTGAGCAGATGTAGAATTTTTTGGCTCGATCCAAAGTCTCCCAGAAATCTGTCCCAGTTGCTGGATCGCTGGAAAGGTTTACCTTGGCTCCCAGGGGCCATCAAATCAGCTCTCATGCAGGGTAATTTCTAATCTGTGCTCTATAAGTTCAGGTCCATGATTATATTAAAAGTTTTTTTAAACTTACGGTTTCTGTTAAATGAGGTAAGTTGAACTGGGGACCCAGTATAATTACAACTGGTATCTTTTGGGGAATCCCTGGCAGAAAAAGCCAAGCACTGATGAGCAAAGAGATACCCTTGTTTAGTTTAAAACCAGCTACAACACTCATTGCAGACACAGACACCAGGAGAAAAATGGTGCTCCTGCACCACTGGTTTAACACAAACTACAACACTCATTGCAGACACAGACACCAGGAGAAAAATGGTGCTCCTGCTCCCTCCCTGTGTTGTAGGAGCTCTGAAGACAAAGCCCAGAGCACTGGGTAGGTACCTCATGGGAGACACTTTCAGAAAAAGCCACTGATTATAAAGGCCTTCATTTCTGGGCACTCAGCTACAGCTTGTGTAGAAAAGTGGGTGCTTTTGCAATCAGCAGCTATTTAGAAAAATTCCAGCTTCATTCTGGTCAGCCAAGAATGGATAAAAATGCTAAAACATGCACATGCAGTAATGTTGGAAGACTGTGAAAACTGTGAGCAGAGGGTGCACTTCAAGATATTTTCTACTGTTTCTGCACCGTGAGATTATTCATTTTAGAGTAATTTACTTTACTACATTTGCTAAATGCACTTGAGTTCTGTTTTTTAACCAATGACTGCACTCTCAGGCCATCTGCTCCTCCTACCCAATGCTGCAGCAGCCCAGATCTTCATGAGATGATAGGGCCACGTCCTGGCCAACACAGAAGGGCACTCTCATTCACAGTGGGAGAACGAAGCCAACAGTTGTGATCATAACGTGTCAACAAAACAACAATTTTGGAAGAAAGACAACTTATTATGTTGTTATGTTTTAGTGATTACTCCTTACCACCACTGTCATCCTCTCTCAGAATTTACTGAAAAGAGAAAAAAAAAGTGTCTTACCTACACCAGGCACTTCCAAAGCCATAGAAATCAATGAAATTGCCAGTGTAGCCCTCAGCTATCTGAGAGCAGGATTTCACCTTCTCCACGTCACGTCAGCCACATCCACCACCCACAACCCACACACCTCCTCCCTCCGTCCCCACAACCATAAACCCAAACTGTGCAGTGTGCTTTGCAGGAGGAGAAACTGTGTGGATCCGTGGTGTCCTGAGAAGCAGCAGGAATCCAGGGTGTCTGGTCCCAGCAGCTGGTGGGAGGGAGCTATGTGAGATGGCACAAAAGTTTTTTGTTTGTTCGTGAGTGGGATTCTGTTGCAGGGGGGTTGATGGTTTGGAGAAGTCCTCCCCTGCTCCCTGTGCTGGTGTGAGTTAGGTGGTGCACTGAGGAACTACGATGCTGAATTTTGTTTTCTTGGCAGGAGAGGTTTGTGTGCAGGGTTCAGGTTGAAGGTTTCAAGTGGGAAGGGAGGAGGGAGGAAGCCTGTGGGTTCTAGAAGTCGGTGGGGTGACATGCTGAACGTGAAACTGCGGTCGAGGGCTTCAAACCCCAAGTGAAGCCTTGGCTAGGGACCTCATGGCTTTCTAATGTTTTTGTTGGTGGGATGTGCCACGAGCAACTTTAATGGATTTTAAATAATATTTTTGGTTTGGTGGGATTTCTGTGCAAACATTGACAGATGGCATGGGTAGCTCATGTATTTTCATCTCTGTTCCTCCTCTAGAGCCTTGCAAAGCCCTAAGTCTTCACATACCACCTTGCTTTCTGTCTGACCTCTTTACTGGACTCCCCTTCTCTCTCTCCTTTTCCAGACAATGTCCTGGATTATTTCTATATTTTGCTAGAGCCCAGACTCTTTTCTCTTTGCTCATCTCTTTCACTGCTCATTTGTACAGAACCACTGGAGAGTTGATATGTTACTGGCACAGAGAAAAAAAATAAAGGCAGTGAGGGAGAAGAGAAAGACAGGGGATATGTGTGGGACAGTAAGGAGGGCAGCATGAGAAGAGGTGGTAAAGATATTGAAGTGTAGGTGGGGGCTTGTCTGTAATGTTCTCTGTTGATTTGCAGGACTGACAAGCTCCAAGGGGGAGGGAGAGGTGAGAAAACTGGCTCTGCAGTCAATCTGGACCCAAGCAGGGAGAAACAGAGGAACTGCGAGCTGACAAAGCCTGGGCAGCCCCTCTACCCTGAGCAGCTTCCATGTAAGCTCTCCCTCCCCTTCCCTTCCATGCTGCCCCACACAATCCCATTCCTGCAGCTGCCTGCACCCTCGGCCCTGCCAGCTGGGATTCCTGTGGTGCAGATAAACAATATTCCAGGGATAGACTGAGGAGCAGGACCAGGGCTGGGTTCCTGAAGGAGTAAAAGCCCAGCAGTCCATAACCCCATGGGGTCAGCCCTCAGAGGAAGCCCCTTGCTCTTGCCTCAGCCCTGGGGCAGTCAGGGCTGGCACACACCAGCACAAAGGTGCAGCTCCTTTGGCGTGGGCTGAGAGCAGGAGAGCAGGAGGTGACGTGGGCAAGGACAGCTGCAAGTGCTGCTGATGTGGTGCAGAAGCTCAGGGCCCAGAGCCAGGCTTAGTCCATTCCTCCTCTGCTGCAGAGGCACTGGAGCCCTTGGGGCTCAGTGGGGTTTAAGCACTTACACCCAGTGCTCATCAGGTCATGTGCACAGCACGTGGATCCCACACATCCCACTCCCCTGCTACCTTGAAAATCCACCTCTGTAGTTTGTGTTATCAGGTGAGCAATGCAAGAGGTGGAAGGCTTTTAAACTCACTTTACTGGCAAACCCAACCATTCCCTTTGGCTAAACTCAGCGTGATTCGGACCTGCCAGCCAAGGCAGGAGGAATGATTTGTGGTGCCTGAAATTCCCCAGGTACAAAACAACAGAAACATTGAGGTGCCATCAGATCTTCCATCTGTAAAATCTGGTATTTTCAGTTATTTAGAAGTAAATGAGAAAGAAAATGAACATAATTTAGAAATTAGTTGATATGCCAGAAAATAGTGTTAAACCCTCTGTGCCTTATGCAAGATCTAGTCTCTAAAATCTGGAGATTAAACTCAGCCAGGGAAGTTTGATACAGAGGGATTTGATTCCTCTTTTGGCTGCAAATTCCAGACTGGCTTTGACTGTGACCTTAGCACTAACATCCCCCTTTGACTCGATTGAGCACAGTTTATTTCAGTGGTATGCAAACCAGCTTCCCCTAACATGAATCCCTGCCATAAGAAATCACTGACATCCCTTCAAAATACCATGGAAAGCTTTTGGTCACTGCTTAAGAGCAGAGAAGGTATTTGAAATTGAGAAAGCGACTGAAAATGGGGTGTGGAAAAGGAAAGATTTAATATTTAAATGAGGCTCTTGAATTCCTCACATTACAGAAGCACCAGAAGCAAGACTCAGCCCTTGCTTTGCACTGTCAAACACAGTCTGTGATAGTCACTGTGCTTTTTTTTTGTGGTGCAAGCCAGGAGAGGAACTGATCCAACCTTTTGAGCAACAGGCTGTGTGTTGTCAGCATCACAGGGTGGCTGCTTTGTTTATACAGCTCCTAATGAAGGCAATGGATTGGCCTCTCCTTCTGATGCTGGAAACCTCACCCTTAAAAGAGGAAACTGTATATTTGCCTCCACTTTCAGTGTCTTGAACCACATGGACACAGCAAGAAAAAAACACAGGTGCAAGCCTATTATAAAATGTAAACATTTGTTACAAATCATCCCAGAAACCTCTTTTCCTATCTTTTCAGCTTAATGTTGCTAGGTAAGGCAGGTAAGGCAGCTGGCAGGGCTTAGTTAAGCACGGTTTTAAATGCCAGATAAAAAAGAGCAAAATTTCACCAGGTTGTGGAAGACTGGGCTCTCATTTGTCAGTGATTCTTACTGAAGACAAACTTTAATGGTATTCATGCCTAAAAATATTTCAAAACCTGCTTCTTGGGGAAGAATACAGACTCCAGGCGGCTGACCACAACAGTAAATTGCTGTCAGTGACACAGCCCATGCATATTGAGGGGACCCAGCTCTGCCCTCTCCTTGACAGGATAGCGGGTTGCCTTGGGGTTCATCTGCTCATCTCACTGTCATCTGTCATGACATATTCATATGGGACCCAGCTGCTGAGGCTTACACCAAGGAAGAGAAAATGTAAAAATAATTGGTTGATGTTTATGTCATTCCTTAGGCTACACCCACGCAGCCCTTTTCAGGGTTCTCTATTTGAAGGATCATTATCTTTACATACATTGTCCTATATCTTAAGTGATATACCCTTCTACTTTTAACCTTTAAATAATGCAAGGACAGAAAAAGCCTTGTCACCACTGAGCACCTCCCAGTAAAATCTGGCTGTGGTTTAATGTCAATAATAAAAGCATCATAACATTTTAGTAAACTTGTTTCTGAGGTGGGATTGATTTTCTTAGATTTGCTGGGAGATCAGACAACTTTTCAACTCAAGACTTTTAGAAATGCTCATTCCTGGAGTGAGCAGTCTGAAGATGATAAAACTTTTGTACTGGGGCTGAGCTTGCTCTGAGCCTGCTGCAAGCTACCCAAGACAAAATTATCCCCTGCCTCAGAGTCAGACCCTGCAACAGAGGCCCTGGGGATCTCCTGGGAATGCAGCCCCTGTCTTGGAGGCTCCTGCCTCCTCTGGTGCTGGGGAAGGAGATGACATCCTGGTCCTGCCCTGGCTGCCCGTGGAGAGGCAGTGTAAGGGTGCAGACCTCAGCAAGGAGCAGGATGTTGGCTGTTCTGTGCATAGGAGCCATCCTGCAGATGAGGGGAGAGCACAGACTGTGCAAACAGCAGTGCTTCCCTCTGAAACTGCATCCCAAAAGGGTTTCGGCTGAAGGATTTGGGTCCATTAGGAAGAGCACTGCCAGCACGTTGAGGAAGGTGATGCTGCCCCTCTGCTGAGCCCTGTGAGGATCACCTGGAGTGCTGTGTCCAGCTCTGGGCTCCTCAGGACAGGATTTCGTTACCCCAGCTCCTGAATTAGCAGGCTGCTTGGACTTGCCTTGGCATAGGCAAATGTGCTCTCCTTCTCTCCTTGAAACAGAATGCAGAATAGGTTTATCCTAAACACATCCAAACATTATTTTTGGCTTACATGAAAATGGTCATTGTACAAAAAAAAAGGCATCACAATGCAGAAATGCTGAGGGAAAGAGAAGAACTAGAAACATACTTGTTAGGTGAGCTGAAACCTGTGTTTGTGTCATCTGAGCTATCATTTGTTCAAGAATACAATAACCCATGATCCCAGACCAGAAATAAAGAACATAAAAATCTGTGTTTTCCACAAATGCATTTCTTTATATCCCATTTCCTACCTGTAGCTTCCTATTGTAGAGCAGAGAAGTAAAAAGATTCAGAGGGAACCTTGGTTTCCTCCAGTACCAACATCTGGAGGGCACAGCCAGAGCAAGACACACCAGAACAAGCTCTGCTGAGGCTTAATGCCATCCCAGTGGTCTGTGCCCCAGTTCTGCTCAATATTTTTATTGATGACGTGGATGGGGGTATTGAGTCTTTCATCAGTGAATCTGCAGGCGACACTAAGCTGGGAGCGCTTGTCCGTCTGTTGGAGGATAGGAGGGCTCTGCAAATGGCACTTGGAATGGTTGGATGGATGGGCAGAGTCCAATAGGGTGAAGTTCAGTAAGTCCAAGTCCTGAGTCCTGCGTTTTGCCCACAGTAACCCCCTGCAGTGGTACAGGCTGGGGATGGTGGGGCTGGACAGTGCCCAGGCACAAAGGGACCTGGGGGTGCTGGTGACAGCAGCTGAACACGAGCCAGCAGTGTGCCCAGGTGGCCAAGAAGGCCAAGGGCTCCTGGCCTGGATCAGGAATGGTGTGGCCAGCAGGAGCAGGGAGGTCATCCTGCCCCTGTACTCGGCACTGGTGAGGCCACACCTGGAGTGCTGTGTCCAGCTCTGGGCCCTCAGTTTGGGAAGGACCTTGGGACACTGAGCATGTCCAGAGGGGACAACAAGGCTGGAGAGGGGCTGGGAACACAAACCCTGTGAGGAACAACTGAGAGAGCTGGGGGTGTTCAGCCTGGAGAAAAGGAGGCTCAGGGGTGACCTTATCCCTCTCTACAGCTCCCTGAGAGGTGGCTGTGCTCAGGTGGGGTTGGGCTCTTTCTCCAGGCTGCACTGACAGAACCAGAGGACACAGTCTTAAGCTGTGTCAAGGGAAAAATAGGCCGGATATTAAGAAGAAGTTTTGTACAGAAGGAGTGGTAAAGTACTGGAATTGTCTGCCCAGGCAGGTGGTGGATTCACCATCCCTGGATGTATTTAAACAAAGACTGGATGTGGCACTCAGTGCCATGGTTTAGTTGAGGTGTTGGGGCATGGGTTGGGCTCAGTGATCTTGAAGGTCTCTTCCAACCTGGGTATTCTGTGATCTTCAGAGAGGTAGGGGAGCAGCTTCAGATAAACTCTCCAAACCTTCAGAAAACTTTCCAAAACTGCAGGTTTGGGTAGCTGGGGATACCCAAGGACTGACAAGCAGCTTGCTGGAGCCATCTGTACCACCCTACATGTTCGGGAAACAAGCTTTCCTCACTGTTTAACACAATAACTGCAAGGGCACCTTCACAAACCTTCACAGACTCCTGGAGACTGCTTTGCTTCTCTGAGTTAGAGAAATGGCACCACTCTTATTTCTCTGGATTTTTTTTTTTTGAGAGAAGTGGAACATGTTTCTTCCTTTCCTGACTGGTACAGAAAGAACATTTTCTCTTCTAATCACCATTTGACAGAAAAATGGAAGAGCAAACGACCAATGTTTTTCTACTGTGATTGTTTTTTGCTTCCTTTTATACCTTTCTCTCTGAAATGTGTCCATACCCCCCTGCCCCCTATTTCCTAAGGTTTTTCTGGTAATCGTGTGTTATTGTGGGGATTAATGCACAGGAAACTTGAAAGCAGCAGAAGAAGCCTGCAGGCTCTGTTGGGTATGAGGGATGGGCTGTTATCCCTCACACCTCCTTGTTGCAAATCCCATTTGGTGGTGTGCTGCTAGTGAAAAGAAAACCTGTCTTTTGCAAGTGTTTGGATCAGTCAGGGAGAAAAGATCCTGTGTCAGGGTTGGTTTTAGCAATAGAAGGGTCTGACTTTGCCCCTACACCACCCAGCACGTG